GGACACTCTTGTGGGACACTCTTGTAGGACACTCTTGTGGGACACTCTTGTGGGACACTCTTGTGGGACATTCTTGTGGGACTCTCTTGTGGGACACTCTTGTAGGAAACTCTTATGGGACACTCTTGTAGGACACTCTTGTGGGACACTCTTATAGGACACTCTTGTGGGACACTCTTCTGGGACACTCTTGTAGGACACTCTTGTGGGACACTCTTGTGGCACACTAGAAGCAGTCCTGCGAGCGTTTCGTACGAGACGTCCTCCAAAAGTCACGCTTCGAGGCTGCACAAGACGAGCGTTTCGTGCGAGACTTTCTCCAAGAGTCACGCGTCAAGTCTCCAAAACGAGCGCTTCGTCCGAGACTTCCTCCAAAAGTCACACGTCAAGTTTCCAAAACGAGCGTTCCGTGCGAGACTTCCTCCAAAAGTCAAGTGTCAAGTCTCCAAAACGAGCGTTTCGTACGAGACTTCCTCCAAAACTCACATGTCAAAGTCTGCAAAACGAGGATTTCGTACGAGACTTCCTCCAAAAGTCAAGCGGAAACACCCATCGGAGCACACACATCACGCAGCCCTGCCAAGCAATTTCGCGAGTCCAGCCCCTCCAAACAATACCCCCTCACACGCCAATCCCAATGTGACAGCGACATTCACCTCTACCACAACTCACGACCTCACGATTCCCTGCGCCTGCCACGAATCTTTCCGCATCCACGCGTCTAACGCGCACAAAGTACTGCGCCTGCCACGAAATGTCACCTCCGTCACACCTCGCAACCTCACGATTTCCTGCGCCTGCCACGAAAATCGCACTTCCACACCTCAAAATCAGCCCAACAAATGTGCCTGCCACGAAAAGTGAGAATATCATTTCACGTGAGCTTCAACAAAATTTGCACCACACCACACGTTTAGAATGATTTCGACCCGTTCTGAGCACACTCCCATCCACCAAAATCGCCATTTCAGCTGAGACTTGTCACGAAACAGAGCTTCGATGCCACACCCTGAAACGCAAATCCCAATGGCACGGCCACATCCAACACCCCAAAAACACGACTCTCCAAACGCTAATCCCAATGGAACTGCGCAGTAAACTGCGGATCTCTCAAACCACTGCGCCTGTGCAGCGAAATGCATCACGCTTCTTGCGCGACATGTCATTTTCATGCAAATCACAATGGAATAGCGTCGCAAACTGACACGTGACACATCCATGAAAAGTCACTTGCAAAAGCTTCCCCCAATGGCAGCGCCTTAGCGTCCTACTGCGAACGGTTGCGGACGGTTGCGGACGGTTGCGAACGGTTGCGAACGGTTGCGGACGGTTGCGGACGGTTGCGGACGGTTGCGAACATAGAAACAACGGATCGCGAACAAGACTCTACCCCCAGACCCCCAGAGTTAAACGAGAACCCTTCGCTACGCATTCGGGAAAAACAACATTTAAACTTAGTTAAAATATGTAATGTTATGGTGGATTACTCCAAGGCAAAGTTTTACAGAATACTAAATGACAAAATGGCGATGTCTATATTGGTGCTACTTGTCAGCCATTGAGTGTTAGAATGGCAGGACATAGAAGGGGGCGGAATGGCAAAGATAAGAAACATTACAAATTGTTATCACACAATCACCCAAACATTCAATGCTGGTGGTGGTGAAATTAATATGAATATTGTAAAATCATCCTCTAAACTGATTGGAGCATTCATTACCTTATTTAGAACTCCAAGGAGTGGTGAAGAACTGAACCGATACTTACCTGATAATTATGTATATAAGAGATGGAATTAATCCTATGATCTGTGGAAGAATTAATGATATTGGTAATGCTGATGCAAATAACTTACAAGGTACAAAGGTTTTCAAGATGCCACCCGTAGTTTAAGTTGGCAAATTCAATTAAGCAATTCCCAGAAATACACAGAATTTGAAGCGCAATCATTATCATAAATCTTTTACTATTTAAGAAGAGCTATACAGTACATGACAGTTTAAGTTTTTCGTATCGTCAATACAGAAAGAACAAATTCATTATTGGTATGTCATTTGAAAAAATTGCAGATGTCAATTTTACTGGTTATAATTCTAAAATGTCAGGTATTACCAATTTTCGAATTAAAGGAGCAGAAGGAGCATTATTAGACCCTAATGAACAAATCATTGAGGGTTTCAGAGACTGTTCTGGAATTGAGAGAAAGTGGTAGTATTGTCTACTTCCAAGGAAATTGAAAATTTAAAACATCCCAGGAAATCAAAAAATCCAAAATTCCAATTTTCCAAAATTCCAATTTTCCAAAAAAACCAAAGAAACCAAAAAACCCAAAAAAAACAATTCTGCACAGACCATGGGGGGAAGAGGGGGTGAGGCAAAGTCCTGGCACAATTGTTTTTTTTGTTTTTTTTGGTTTCTTTGTTTTTTTTGGAAAATTGGAATTTTGGAAATTACCTTTGGGGGAGGGGGGGGGT